TTCAGTAGTTACCTGGTCATCAGGCAGAGGTGATACGTCATGTTCAACCCCCAAATTGATGCATATTCTCTCTTGAGTTTTTCTTCTCCCTCTGGCTAGAGACACCCAGAAGCAGCTGGTGGCATTAAATACCTAATCATTGTTACTTCCCTCTATGTTTCCTGGCTTGCCTGGAAACCTATCAGGAGGGTTAGTTACTGAACCAAGGGCTAAGAAGAGTACTTTAAACATTCTCCATCTAGACCTCCAAACCTACTCTGTCCCTAAAAGAGCTCAGCAGTCCAAGTATGGAAGCAGAGAAGACAGCTGGTTTGGAAGGTAGTCTAAAGTAGTAGTTAAGAGCATGGTTTCTAGGGGCAAACTACTTGGGTTCATATTCTAGGGACACCACTTAGTAGTAGAAACCTGGCTTTAGTTTCCTCATCAGCAAAACGGAAATAATAATAATGCCTATCTCATAGGGCTTTTACGAAGATTAAAGGAAACAATCCAGGTAAACTTAGAAAAGTGTTTGGAATACAGTAAGCATACAGTATATGTTAGCTATTATTATCATTTCTGACCTAGGGTTGGGTTTTATTGGGTAGGTACAACAGAAGGACAAGAGTACAGGAGTGTAGTGGTTATGAAGTGATGGGAAGTGAAAAGTAGAAGAAACTGATAGGGAAAGAGTAGCACAGTCAAAGGCTTGGCTTAAAGCTGAAGCATAGATGCACTGGAAGTCATTCAGTTAGGAAGCTGGAAAAATGGGCAGAACGTAGAAGAGTTTATTTTCAGCTTTTAAAGATTTTATTTATTTATTCCCCCCCCCCCCCAAAGCCCCAGTAGATAGTTGTATGTCATAGCTGCACATCCTTCTAGCTGCTGTATGTGGGACGCGGCCTCAGCATGGCCGGAGAAGCGGTGCGTCGGTGCGCGCCCGGGATCCGGGCCCAGGCCGCCAGCAGCGGAGCGCGCGCACTTAACCGCTAAGCCACGTGGCCGGCCCTATTTTCAGCTTTTAAAGGTGAAGCTGACATAAACGATGACAAGGTCCAGCGAGTGGGTGGCTTTGCAGAAAGGTAAAAGCCACTGAATTAAGATCAAGCAGCTGAGAGGCCAGGATATTGGCTGGATTATCCACATGGAATTTTAACTCACCAGGCTTAAAGGTGGGACTTAGGGAAGGGAGAGAAAATCTAAGTCAGGTACCAAAGTCTTCGGTGAATGAAAGGAAATGATTGAGAAGGACATATATGGACAGGAAGGACCAGAAAGTGATACAATCAGATTGTATGAGCATGTATACAGATCAGAACTGGGGAATGTGGAAGCCGACCGCTCCTCCTGATCCCAACTGAAGCTACTTGGTGGGAAAAGACCACAGAGCCAAGGCTGCTAAATACCTTGCAATGCTTAGGAAAGTCTAGTACAGTGATGAACTGTCCTATCCTATGTTAATTCTGTCCCTGTTGAGAAACGCAGCCACCAAATTATTTAGAGTGCTTCTTCAAAGGAGCCTGGCTATCCAAGGTATAACAGTTCTATGAAGCCCCTCTTCCCATTTTAACATGCTCTCCAGACCTTGGGAAGGATCACTTATGTCTCTCTCCACCCTGCACATACTTTCATCACAGTACAGTCCATTCTTCATCACATTTATACGTTTAAATGTCACTCTCACATAGGTACTTCCAGGGCTGTGGCAAGGTGTAGTCATCTTTTCATGTCTATGTAACCCTATGTAGGCACTTAAGAAACGTTATTTGTTAAACAAGAGACTTCTCACAGCCACCAAATTAGGAGGCAGAGCATAAAAAGAATATTCCACCTATGAAAATGAGCCATCAAGCCTTTAAGCTTTTGACTATAAAAAAAGAATGATTTTCTAATAAATATTAGAAAGAAAATGCAATATTTCTTCACCAACTTGTAGGATAACATTTCTGAATACCTCATATTAAAGGAAGACAAGGCTGAGATCTCAAAAGAAAAAAATCAAGATTTGAAGAATAAAGTTGTTAGTGAACTTGGAATATCCTTTACCTTCTATATACTGAACTAAAAATAACAATGGATTAGCAACATTCCGTTTGTATTCCCTGTTCTCCAAAAACTTTTCAAAGATTTACTTGCCCTAGAGTTTAAATGAGATGCTTATAAATTCACTTTTGCTGTAGGTAAATAATAATATGAAAGGGTTTTAAAATTTTGTTTCTGGTCTTCCTTTCAAGTGTCCCATGCCTTTCTGCTTTTATTATTTTGAGATTCTCTCCAAATGTCAAATTTTCCAACACCTGTATCTGATATAAATTCTTAAATACGTGGAAAAAGTACACAAAAAAAAGTGAATATATCTTAGCATTTCAGCCTAGATGAATTCACAGTCGGCAGGGTGCAGGGGAGAGGTTTACTGTGGTTTATTTATAGGGAAAGAGAAAGATGGAGGAAAAAGGTATAGAAATAGTAGAAACTTTAAAGAAAAACAATTTTGAGGTAATGCAAAGCACCACCATTAGAAACAAAAAAATTCTTTAGTTATTGAACTCAAAGAACCTTTTTGCTCCAAACTTAATAATAAATATCACTTCTCCTTCAGTTCTGCACACCTTTAAAGGAATAAGCCTTTAATCAATAAGCATAAACTTCTGTGAAAACCTCATAAGATGAATTATTTTATTTGGACTCATAAAATAATTTCCTGTAGGCCCTTATTCTCCTTTGGGTTTGAGGATTCAGGAAAGTATACATTTATACAGTCTGTGCAGGAAAATAAGTACTCAGAGAAGTGAACACTATTCCCTTCTCATTATTGCATAGGCAGTAACTTATATGGGAATAAAAACTATGTTTTCTGTGAAAAAGGGCCCTGAGAAAAGTAAACTGATAGTGGAAATTCAGAGAAGCTAGTGGTTTATGTTCATTCAGTAAAAACGTGCTGTAATGTGGTACAGAGTTTTATTTTAGTGGCAGAAATTTTAGTAGCTATGCAAATTACTTTACTCCTGTACTTAGTCTTTAAAAGTTGGGTATACAGGCACATAGGCTTTCCAGAATTCTGCAGGGAAAATTCTAGCTATAGTCATATTTAAAAAAAATCAAAAGGATTTTGAACATTCTGGATCTATCCATCATGAATATAAAATAATTGCCTGTATCTCAAGTTTAGATAGACCATCGTGTTGTTTGACGTTAAGATATCTTTTGTTGATTTTCTAAAATCCTTTTCTGATGATAACCTCACACATTGTTGGCTTTTCTGGCCACAGCAGAACACTTAGCTGATTATGGCCACAGAACAGTCTTCAGCCCTAAAACAATTCCTGTGCCCCCTTCCTGTGCTAACTGAAAGTATAGACCTCATCAGACATACTATAAATATAGTTGAGATAATTTCTTTAGTTACATTATCTTACACTTGCCCACCCCAAAACTTCAACACTTTTCTGCCCATTCACACAGTTTTAAAATATCTTTCAATTATAGTTTATTTTCATCATTCATAACTCAGACACATTTAATACTATTTGTACATTTGGAAGGATGGTATGCTTAATCACCTCTAAGATACTAATAAAAATTCAATGAAGACAGCAAATAACATTTTCCCAACTTTTGTTAAAATGAAAATCTTTACATATGAAACTGTGTTCCTACGCTTTAGCCGGTTTAAAAACTACAACCAGTTCGATTCCTTGTTAAAAAGTCTATATGCCAGCATTTCCAATTCTTTTTTTCCTGAGGAAGATTCACTCTGCGTTAACATCCATTGCCAATCTTCTACTTTTTTTTTTTTTTTTTTTGCTTAAGGAAAATTAGCCCTGAGCTAACATCTGTGCCAATCTTCCTCTACTTTGTATGTGTGACACCGCCACAGCATGATTGGTGAGTGATGCAGGTCCCTGCCCAGCATCCGAACCCGCGAACCCAGGTCACTGAAGCAGAACGCGCGGAACTTTAATCACTCGGCCATGGGGCTGGCATCCGCAGCATTTCCAATTTTACCAGCCCTCTTCAAAGAACAAAATGTACCCCACACTTGATGACAATCAACAACAGTGAGCAGAAAAGATGTTTGGAAAGAAAGACCAGTTTTATAACGGTTCTCTTCTGAATGCAAAAAATGTTAGCATGATATTTTTGCACTGTCAAATTCAAGTCAAACAATTTTTTTAAAAAGTTGTATTTGTAATATAATATGAAAGATTTGCTTAATTCATTCAGCAAATATGTACTGAGTATTTACTGCATGCCAGGCATTGTTTTGGGTATTGAGATTCAGAGGTGAAAAAGACAGACATGGTTCCTATTTTTCCACTACCAAGAGACTTATGTTTCATCTTGAATCATTTACATTAAAAAATACAGACCCCAGCAATAAAATGTTATAAAATCATAGGTGTCATAGAATAGGGGTTGAAAAGGAGTTCAGAGATTATCTGCTGTATGTCATCAATTCCAAGTTGCACATTATTTTACATTTTGACATCTCCGAAGTCAGCCACATCTTACAATGTGGTCATACCAGGCAGCAATCGAGATGGAGTTGTTACCGCTGCACTTGTGCATTAAAACTTACAGAACGAGTGTCAGGGGCTTGGAAGAAAATCTGGGAGACAATGGTGAAAGGTGCCCTTTTAAGGATTCTTGATAATTCAAGATTCAATAAAATATAATCGTTCAAAGTGTTCTTACAGGAGAGGAAAATGAAATTCAGAGAGGTTAAATGACTTGCCCTAATTCACAAAGCAGGGTAGGTAGGACTACAGGCCACATTTGAGTTCCATTCTCATTCTTCTTCTACCAAAGTCTTCAGTTATATGGAAGGAAAGGCTCTAGAACGTGGCTCTAGTTTGGGGACCATGGGCAAGGAACTTAATCTCTCTTTGCCTCAGTTTCTCCATCTGTAAAACAGCAAGTTTTATAGACCTAACTCATGATGTTACTGTAAGTATTATGTGAGATAATGAATGTATAGGACTTAACATAGAGATTGGCATATTGTAAGTGCTCTGTAAAAGTGAACTATTTGATATCAAACTTTACACTTGGTAGGAAATTATTCAAAGTGATCATCAATTATCCCACAAATATTGCTCATTATATGAAGCCCACATCTAGTTATTTGACTAAAACAGTAGAAAACTAAATAGACTGGCCAAAGGTTTGAAATGATTAATACAATAAAAATTTCCACCTTAACAATACTTTGTCCAGGACCAAATGGTACTGTGCCAAGAACCCAACAGACCTACCTGCAAGAAACCACACAAAAAGTAAGAATTGAGGCCATCTATAACCATCAAGTTACTAAGTACCCTAATGTGTACAAATGCCTTTATAAACACAATCTCAAATAACACATAAACAAGGAAAAGTATTTAAAATGTATAGACAGATCATTTATTTTTGTTTTCTTTCAAATACTATCACAACTGTATATATTAATACTAGTACAAGAACCACAAGTTTTGGAGGTTAAAACGTACCACAGGGAGACATGATTTGGCCAGAAGAGTAAGAGTGATAACTGTTTATGATTTATATATTACTTTATATATCGCAAAGCACTTTCTCATCCATTACCAATTCAGTGCTTTACACATAATACGTAATTATATAAACAAATCCCAGGTGCTTTCTAATGTCATTTTATTTTCTGTTCAAACAATAGAATGTTCAGAGAATGGACAAATATCTACATTTCTTTTTTTCTTTTTTAAGCCTTTCTAAGTCAGCTCTTCTAATTTTGAGAGTTTAAGTGAAAATTCAAATTATAACAAGCCTATATTATGTAGAGTCAACCTATTTTAAATATTAGTTTCCATATTGTTTTATAAAAATAGTAACATATTTCAGGCAAATAAAAATGGTTTCAACTGTGATACTGAATCCAACAGATATACAGTCAAGCACTTATAATTTTAACTACTAGGAAATGTTAATGAATCAACTCACATTTGTTCCGGTTTCACTCGATGTCAAAACCTACAGGACACCCTGCAGAAAAGAGAACTAATTCAAATTAATAATTCTATACCTAGAATTACTGTATTTTTATTAGCTTCCGGCAATTAAAGCCTTATCAGGAGGTACAATTCTGATGTCTTCATGTTTCATCATGACAAGTGCGCAGTAGCAAAGTACAATTTTCTGAATATTTTAAGTATTAGCCTATTTTCTCATACCAATTATTTTAAAAGAATGTTTTGTTAAAATCTCACAAGCACAACATGTTATCCAAATTTAAACCTTAAAAGAAAACCACCACACGACTCAACATGCAAACTTTCCCTATTAATTCTGAAACTTAAAACTAACACTATTAGTTTGCTCGTTTGGGATTTTAAATAAACCATCACATATTGCACTATACACATCCTAGATATTTTCGAAGATCAAAGTCTACCAGTGAGTATGGTTGGGTCGGCAGGGAAGAGCTCTATGGCCAACTCTGAGCGCCCCAGTGTGAGGAGCATCTCGGCGGAAATGACCAGGGACCAGGTTCCAGTGGGGCGGCAGCTCGACGCTGCACTTAACGAGGCGCCCCCGATCCTCGGCCGCCCGGTTGCCACCAGCTCGCCCCACCTTTCTCTGTCCTAGCCTCTGGCCCGCCCCTTTCTCCCAGGCCAGCCACCGCACTGCCCGCCCAGCTCCAGGACTGAGAGGAGTGACGGGAACAAAAACCCGGCATACAAAAAAGGCCCGGGGAGGAAGCCAGCCCCACCCTGCCAAGAGGAGCGCTTCCTCCAGAAAAACTTGGAGGCAAGTTAACAGGAAGGGCAGAGGCGGCGCAGTTCCTAGGATCGTTTGCAGTACCCTGCCGCCCAGCAGTCTCAACCTTTGTCCTTTGACAGGCCTCCTCGAAGCCCCAAGCTCTGAGCGCTTTCCGGGCAACTCTTGACTCGATCTCCATTACGGTCCCTGACTGGTGGCAGCCATGATATTTACATCCGGGTATTTCGAGGAGCGTCGGCCAGAATCTCCCGGAAGTGACGCGAGGGCGGAGGGATCCGCGTTCGGCTGAGGGAGACTGAGGTGAAGGGGCTCCCGGAAGCGGGTCCGGTAGGCACGATGGCGGTGGCGGGGCGAGGTTGGGGACCTTACAAGAACCAAGTCCTTGTAACACTTTTAACCGGTCAGAAATTGTGCTTAACGCCAGCATTGCCATGCCATTTAATCCTTTCTTCACAACAGCCGCAGGAGAAAGAAATATCAGTTCCATTTTATATACGGGGGAACTAAGGCTAAGAGAGGGCCAGTGATTGATCAAAGATAATAGAGCCAGTATTTAGTGGAGCTCGTCTGATCCCGTTAGTTTGGATGCAAAACCTGTGCTTTAAACCTCCTCCGTGGTGCTTCCGTTTAGAAAAGTCCAAACCCCTGGTGCTTATGTTTGCTTTCAGCTCAGCATCCTGTTGCCCAGGGAGTGAGGCCAAGTCACAGCCACTGTGCTTATTATGGTGGACACAAGGCCGAACTGTGTGCACGGGTCACCTTCGCTAACCCGATGACCCGGAATTTCACTTGGTTTCCTACTCCTTGACTCTGCACAGGCAGAGTTCTTTTTTCTGTCACAGCGCAGGTTAACTGAGGAAACTGAAATTGGCGCTTACTTTGTTGGGCTCTGGGAAACGTTTAAAACTGTCAGGCGCCTGTAAATTCAGGACTGTTGAGAAAACTCGAGGCCTGACACCGTCAGCAATACAGTCTCTGGCCTTAACAAAGGACTGACAATTATTATCTTGGACTTTCTACCAAACCAATTATGTTTCCTCTGGTTTCCATTTCTTTAGATTACAACTGAGAACCAAGCCTTTGATTTTATGTCTACGGTAACCAGCCCTCACATAACAAAGTGTGAATAACCACTAAGGTCATATTTTTGTAAAAACAAATTATGCATAGGAAAAAACACTAACAAATACATCAAAATTAACTGATAATATTTGAAGAGTGGCCATTTAATGCTTTCATTTCTTTTATTTTCTTTTCCTTCTACTTTCTATTTTCCATATCTGCTACAGAAAAATAAATTGACCATGGTACAACATGGCATGTTGTCACATTTTGACAAATGACAGTCCTTGATACGAATCACTTAGAGGAATCCTGTTTGCTTGGAAAAGTGTTGGGTTTTTGTAAGGGTGTTACAATTTGGGGTCAACAATTGTCATGGGAAAAATGAAGCATATGAGTAAAAAATTGATGTTTTTCACACACTTTTGTTTAAAAATATACTACAATCAAAGGTTTTTCGTCTTAAAAAAGATGGGAGGGAAATTTGGGGCACTTGAAATTATGGAGAACAAATATAGAAAGCTATTTTTATTCTTTCTTTGGGGTACAGCTTTAAGCAATTTATTTCAGACTCTGTAAAATAAAGGCTTCATTCTCTATTCTACCCCTATATTCCATTTCACATTATTGCTTTTCAGTGACCTCTCAAGCAGTGGCACAGCAAGAAATACACTGAAAAGGTAGAAGAGAAAAATGAGAAGAGATCAGGGGAAGAAGAAAATGTAGAGGAATAAAGGAAGATGCTGATATTGGGGTTGAGGTTACTTTGGAATTCCAAGCTAGCATGTAGCAACCTTCTCATCCAAGTCATGGCACAAGACCAGTTGCCCACTCAAAGGTAGATTTACATATACAATATTTCCACTCATATACTCAGCACCCACTACAACTCTTACCGAAATTCACGTTTATACTCCTACAAATCAGACATACATTTTAACAAAACTTGGAGTGATTGAATAATAAGAAATATAAAGTCAAATCCCATAGTTTTCCCTCTTACCATGTCATTCATTAATCCCATAACTGGATATTGAACTGGAAGTTTGCCATCAGCATTACAGCGCAACAACTATGAAACAACCAAGTGAGGTCCTGACAAGATGCATATTTTCAAAGGAAATATCTATATGTTAGTCTGGGTCCTCTGAGAAGCAGTTGTTAAGATGAGATTAAATGTGCAAGAATTTTATTAGAGGAAACACCTGTGAGAGAGAATGGAGAGGGAGCCAGGGGATGCTGGAAGCGCTATCAGACTGTGATGCAAGTCTGAAACAGAGTGAAGGAAATCGGGACTGGGGTGGGAGGGATTGTCCTAAACTACTGTACAGTCTAAGGAAGATTCAACAAGGCTGTTGGGAACCCTCAAGCAAAAATTCAGAGGAGTGTTCCTAGGAAAGAGCCTGTTTTATTATCTGTGCTGCACTCAGTCATTGACTGGAGGAGCCCATGGGATACTTGAGCCTTGGTGCAAATGTGGCAAAGGATTTCAGAGTGCAGCTTCTGGGGCCCTTGGTCAGTTTTGCTCCCGGTGTTTGGTAACCACAATCCAAGAAGTGTTTTTCAATTATTGGAACTTTTTACCAGTTTCAAGGCTTAAGAAGATTTTGAAAGAGATGATTTCATGAGGAGGAGTTTTGGAGAGAGCCATTGTTATGCTTCCCCTCTCCTGTTTGAGTCTAATGAGTGGAGCTTCAGTGGCACTACTCAGCGAGCTTGATATGTGTCCCCTGGGTTTTGAGAAGTACAGTAGCATTTGACTCACATCTTGGAACTCCCAAGGGTAGGAGAAACAGCCAGTGAGAAGTTTTGGCAGAGGAGAAAAGGAGAGTGGCTGTATCGGGATCAGCTGTCACTTCCATAGTTTGTCAGGGCAAATGATGTTTGAGTGTTTGTCGGGCACCAGATGTGGGCCACATGAGAGAAAGAGAAAGCTGGCATGAAGTCTTTTTGACTCTTGCCCAAGAGGACTGCCTGGAAGGGAGGTGAGACTCCAACAAAAAGAATCTGTGTGGTGTGGATTATTAGAAAATCTAGAGCTATAGTTGGAGCGGTAACTGGGGGAATAGAATACATTGCCCATCTAGGGTGACCAACTTGTCCAAGTTTGCCTGGAACTCTCCCTGTTTTACTATCAAAAGGCCTGAGTCCCAGGAACCCCTCAGTCCCAGGCGGTTCAGGATGGTTGATCATTCTATGTGTCACAGGAGTTGCAGTCAGAAGGCGCCCAAGCAGGGAGCCTTCAAGAACCCAAAAAATCATACTTGAGAGTGAGAATCAAGTTGGAGTATCAAGCAGGTCCAGAATATGTGAAGCCAGCTTATGATGATGTCAGTGTTAAAGTGGATTTTATCAGAGGATAATTGGAAAATGACAGTGAAGCAGGATCTTCTCCACACTTTCCTTTTGGAGTATATATTGGTTGGCTTGGACTGACATAACAAAATACCACAGACTGGGTGGCTTAAACCTCAAAAACTTGTTTTCTCATAGTTCTGGAGCCTAGAAGTTCAAGATCAAGGTTTTGGCCAATTCAGTTTCCGGTAAGAACTCTGTTCCTGGCTTGCAGATGGCCACCTTCTTGCTTTGTCCTCACATGGCCTTTCCTCTATCCATGTGTGAGGAAAGGGGGAAAAGGCAGGGGTTGGGGGGGACGCAGAGAGGTCTCTGGTGTCTCTTCTTATAAGAACACTAATCCTGTTGGATCAGGGTCCCATCCTTCTGACCTTATTTAACCTTAATTTCTTCTCAGAGGCCTCATCTCCAAATACAGCCACACTGGGGATTAGGGCTTCAACATATGCATTTTAGAGGGACACGAACATTCAGTTAATAACAGAGTGTGACTGTGGAACACAGAAATATCTTTTTTAGGCAGGATCGTGAGAATATTAGGTCTGTTTCATGCTTTTCACCCTTATGGAGAAGATGTGCTATAGCGACTTTGCAGCCCCATATCTTTTTATGAACAAAAGTAAAAATTATATATAGAGATCATTTGTGACACTTTTAGAGCTCTTCAGACATTATTTTAATCTTATCAAGGTAAAGTTGGACCCGCCCAGAGGACTGTTTTCTTCTATCCTGCAGAGCAGAGAAATTCACAAGCTAATGCTCCTACTGTTGTACCCGTAGAGAAACCCACAGCAAACTGTGTACCCAGTGATCAGGACTTGGACTAAATAGGGATTTAGTACACAATGGAACTGTTCTATCTGGTGCTGCTTATATTTATGAAATTTGGCATTATATATCTTCCTATATCTTTCTTATATATATGAACTCAAGTAGTTGTAAGACACTAGATCAAAAGGCCAGTATGTTAAAAATGGAATACTGTAATCGCTTATCATCCTTTTGGCTAAGATCAAGTGTAAGAGTGAAATGCTTTAAAAAAAATAAAAAAGACACAGAACTGGATGTCTGTGTCCATAGAATTGGATGTTGGATGTCTCTAACATCCACTTGAGCCCCTCCAGGAGGCAGAGCTGTTTTTCAATTCCTTGAGGGCTTTAGTAGTTGGACCTAGGTTCAACTAGGTTCAGCTTTGAGCAGAGAGTAACAGCTCCAAAATAAAAGTTACTTAACCGTGACATAAATTAATTTTTTTTTTCAGGAAATCTGGATGAAATCAGTTTGGGGTTAGTATGGTGATTCATGGAGTGAGGATTCTAGGCTCCTGCTATGTTGTTGCCCTACTATGTGTGGCTTCCATTTTCCAAAGTCACTTCATGGTCCACAATGGCTGCTGGAGATCTGACCATTCCAGGGAACAGGAAGGATGAAGGGATTCAACGAAAAGCACACCTCTTCCGTTTAAAGACTATTCCCAAAAGTTGTACACAAGCTTCTGCAAGAAAGGCTGGAAAAGGTAGTATATTTTTTTATAGTAAGCCAGTGACCAGCTGTAAAATTTGAGATTCTATTACTCTAGAACTGAGGTCAGCAAACTATGGCCCGTGGGCCAGCCACCTGTTTTTATAAATAAAATTTTATTGGAATACAGCTCTGTCCATTTTACTTATTGTCTTTGGCTACATGTTTTTTTAAACAGCTTTATTGGCATATAATTCACGTGCCATACAAATCACTCATTTAAAGTGTACAATTTAGTGGCTTTTAGTGTATTCACAGAATCACACATGTAGCACCACAATCACTTTAGGGCATTTTCATTGCCATGAAATGAAATCCCGCACCCCTTAGTTGTTGTCCCCAAGTCCCTCATCTCCCGCCTCCCCAAAACCTAGGCAACCACTATTCTACTTTCTGTCTCTATAAATTTGCCTATTCTAGACTTTTCATATAAGTGGAATCATACAGTATGTAGTCCCTTGTGACTGGCTTCTTTCACTTAGCATGTTTTCAAGATTCTTCCTAGTTGTGGCATGTATTAGTACTTCATTTCTTTTTATATCCAAGTAATATTCCATCGTGTGGATATACCACATATTGTTTATCCATTCATCAGTTGATCGACATTTGGGTTGGTTCCACCTTTTGACTATTGTGAATAATCCTTCTATAAACATTTATCTACAAGTTTTTGTGTTGATGTATGTTTTTATTTCTCTTAGGTTGTATAC